GGGGACATCACCCTCTCCATGTCCTTCCCCATTAGACAGTCCTTCCATGAGGTCCAAGATGGTAAAAGCTGGGCATCTTGGAATGAATGACTTAATTAAAAATCATGGTAGGCCATCCATTATGACTATCTTACCAAGAAATAGTTGTGTGTATATAGCTATAAGAAAAGATTAAAGGCTGCTGACAGAAATGTAGTATTATCCTTGTATACATCATCTGGCAGTGTAAATACGGAAACTCTAGTTTCTCATCTGCATCAACTGACAGTATAATTTCTAAAATGTCTAACTTCCATGTCAGTCTGTGGCAGAATAGCATCTTTGAAAAAAATAATTTTGAGGTCAGGGTGTTTTAGTTGTACAAGGGAGGACCTAGGAAGAATGAAGCTATTCCGTATCGGCCGAGACTGGAAGTCACCTGTCCGTTTTTCTGTACCTCATGTCTGAACAGTCACACCCAGGTCTGTAGCATTCGTTGGCCTCTCCGGGCTACTCCAGCATCTCAAGGTGCCTACAGCAGAGTGGGGACTCAGTCAGACACACTGGCTGGACTTTCACTGAAAGGAAACCGACGGACCTAATTGGCCCCTCTCTCCTCCTCTGGCACCCAAACCAAACTCCCTGCCAGCGAGTCGATTCTGACGCACGGTGACCCTATCAGACAGGGAAGGCCTGCCCCTGTGGGCTTCCGAAACAGTCATTTCTTACGGGAGTAGAAAGCTCCTCTTTCTCCCACGGAGCAGCTGGTGGGTTTGACCTGATGACCTTGCAGTTGTAGCCCAGTTCATTTCGAAGCCGCTTTATTTGCTTCTTTCCCTTCCAGGAAGGGAGGAGGATGACCTGGGGATCCCGCAAGCAGGGAGCTGTGGGCAGGTAGGCGTGGTACAGCAAAGCTCGCCCCCTGGTGGGACACCGATGCGTTTGCAGTCCTCTCCATCGCTTGCTGTCGCTGACACATCACCCAGTCTCATTCCTGTCTAAGCTAGCAGGCAGCGAGCACGCAGTGTGTGTGACCCGTGGTGTTGTGCAATTTCGTGGGGCGCTCTCAAAGGATTATTCCCATAGGGGTTATTTCTTCCTACGCCTTTAAAAATAAACGCTCCCCTAAAAAAATAATTAAACCCAGCTTAAGGTGATTAAGCTGCTCGGCCTGTCTTAATCAAACAAGAATGAAAGAAATCTTAATACGATTGCAGTCAGGTTTTTGTGTTCCGTAATCGTGCATTAGAGGCTTAGCTGAAACCATGCTCATGATGGCTCAGAGGCACCATCCTTCCTCTTCAGAGAAAGTGAAATGGCTGCCAAGCTGAACAATGGCTACTGATCCTAGCTCCTTGTCCCCCCTAAACCCGCCAAATCACCCCGCTCCCGCCGCCGCCTCTCAAAGTCGGATGTGAAGCCCTCCCTCCAGCAGAACCTGAAGTGCACCCCTCTTCTGCGTCTTCTTGGTTTGGATGCCCACCTGGACGTTAACCACTCAAGGCTGTCTGCTGCTTTTTGCTTGCCTGTGGAAGTTAGCATAACCTCCCAACCACTTATTTGGGAGTTCAATGATCTCTATTTGGGGATCATTTTATTATTTTTTATAATCCTATGCCCAATATGCAACTGAAAGTTCGGCACAAAACGATGGTCATTCAAAACCATGGCTGTTCGCTGTGCTCAGAAAGGCTGTCGTTTGTTTAAAATGTTGAGTTAATGATGTATAAAAGGACTCTTCACAAGATTCCAGGCATCAGTAAGCTGAGGTCCTTCGGTGCCTTTAAAATGTAATTCTTACCAGAAAAAACGAGATAGCTGTGTATCTGTGGGGCGGATGCGACGCGCCATGTTCCACTGAGCAGCGACGGCGTGAGAAAGGGCAGAGTTGCTCCTGCTAACTGTGGCCACGTGACCCTGAAACTCCTTTCCCATTCTTCTCCAACACTCACCCAGACTCCAAGAGTCATGTCAGCTTGCTGATTGTTTTGCCCTGAAGAAAACCCATGGTGTCATTCAACACCTTGGGTGCCCCTGCCGCGCCGTCACACCTAAGGAACTCACCCCATATCTCTGCAATGCATCTGAGAACACAGCCACGCTGAAGGCTGAAGATCTCCCTTGCCACGCCTTCACTCAACCACCAGAGGCGGCTGTAGGAAAGCTGACACGCAACTGTTGCTTCCCCAGGTCCACCACACCCAGTGGGTCCAGAGAGGCCTCCCCCACAAGACTGGTCCCCCCCTTGGATAGGACCTTTTGGCTTAGTGCAGAAGCACACCTCAGACAGGGAGAGAGCTAGCTGTCTGATGGATGCGGAGAAAGTGGATGGGTTTCCCACACGGGAAACACTATGCTGGACCAGGTACAAGAGAACAGCAACGTGATCTCAACTCAAGGCCACTGGATTGGGAGTCTGGAGATCAGATGGCCGGGTCTGCCTAACCCAATATGGAGGGTCTATGGGCAAAAGATTTATTTTCTGTGGCTCTGTTGACACAGAGGTTAAAAAGAGAGAGAAAGAGAGAAATAAATGAATATTTAGAAATCATCCAAACCTCAGATTCTGAGATATGAGCACTACCATGTAGAAGGCCATGCAGTAAACATTGTGGACAATAAAGACAAAGAGGGTGAATTCCTAGTTAATCTACAGTTAAGCTCCAGTGAAGGTAAGGAAAAAAAACCATCTTATCATTGAGCTTCTAGTAGCTTGTAAACTTGGCATATCCACGTGTATCAGGCATTGTCGAACACACATAAAAGTAAGCACAGTATATGGACGACTTTCGAAAACATGCTGAGTGAAGTCAATCAGAAAAGGGCACTGCACCCGCCTGCCAACATCGTATGAAACATTTCGTGCAGGCATGTGCTGAGAGACTTCAGTTTGTTTCAGAGTTAACAGAAGTGGGTGAGAGCGGGAGAGAAAGGAAGACATGATGTCGGGGGACACGGAGCTTCTGTTAAGAGGATGGAAAAGTCCCAGAGTGGTTGATGGTGGCGGCTGGACAAGACAATGAATGCCACCAGGGTCCCTGCGTTGGACAGCACTTCTGTTGTCTGTATCCCAATGATAATATCGCTAATAAGTCTTGTGCTGGCTCATAAGAAGGAGAGTTTATTGTTCAATAGGGGGGGGGTGGGCAAGCAGGAAGAGGTGCTTGAGAGCAGTTGCATAGACGAATGGCCAAGATTGTGTCTTGAATGATAAGCAGATTGACTATCAGCAGCAATTTCATATTTCTCAGGGTGGAAGAAAAGGCACATTTCACTAGACCAGTGTTTCCCAATGTGGAGTAGGTGTTGGGTGTGGATGTGTGAACTTGGGGTCACTTAAGGTGGGAAACAGTAAACTAAAAGTTAATCCCCTTCTCTTTTCATCACAGAGCTCCGCGGGGACGTCAGTAAGCACGTGTGTGTTGAAAATCTCAGAGGTCAAAAGTACAAGCATATGGCCCACAGAGTCCTCTATTCTTACAGCTTCCTGAGTGACACCGGTTCTAGAAAAGACCCAGTGGAAAGTGCTGTACAAACAGACTGAAAACCCCCGGCAGTCAGGGGCTGGGTCCTACTCACCTCTGTCCCCCCGGCAACCAGCCTGGAAAGGATTCAGTGCATGTCTGCTCAGTGACCATACATCACTGATGACTTCTAATGGCGAGCCCACATGCAAAACACCATGGAAGTGAGTGTCCCGGGAGCCAGGGCCTCCAGATGCATGGGTTTCAGATGAGGGACTCGGGGCCACCGGTCAGTAAAGCATTCTAAACCACTGCCAGCCAGCCAATTCCAGCCCATCGTGGCCCTCCATAGAGGTTTCCAGGCTGTTGGGGTAATGGTTACACGTGGGGCTCAGCCGTTTGAAACCACCGGCCGATGCACAAGAGGAGCTTTCTGCTCCAGTCCAAAGTTACGGTCTCAGAAACTCACAGGGGTATTTCCACCCTGCCCTGGAGGATCACTGTGCAGCTACAGATCTTGAGAGAGCAGACAGACTCCTCTTTCTTTCAAGAGGCAGCTGCTGGGATTGAAGTGCTGACTTGGTGGTTAGCAGCCCTAAGCTTAGCTGACTGAGTCACCAGGGTGCCTTCAAAAGGTGTTTGCCTCCCCATGTGGGAAGCGAACCCGCATCTCCCATAAGACAGGGGGTGTTATGCACTGCTACACTAAGGCAGTTTGGGCTTTCTTCCCCCAAAGGTTATAATAGGCATGCCTTTTTCTAAACTAAAAGTTTCATGAAGAATTTTTCCCTTTCTCCTCTTGACTGAGAATAAGCAACCCATATCCAACCAGTTACCATAGATAAGACACCATTCATGCAGCTATAAATCATCTTTGTCTCTCTACCACCACCTTCTGGTCCCGAGGCAGCTACGCGGTCAATTAAACTCACTGATGACTTACAGTGACCCCCTAGAGAACAGGGCAGAACTGCTCCTGTGAGTTTCTGAGACTGTAACTCTTCACTGGCATAGAAAGCCCAGTCTGTCTCATGCAGGGCAGCTGGGGTTTCGAACTACTGACCTTGCAGTTAGCGGGCTAAGCAGTCTTTTTTTCATATCCCTTTCCCTCATAGGATGCTATGCCAGCTAGAGGCAGGTGGGGTGGCTTTTACGCTGTTTCCCATCTGCCCTAAAGGCAGTACAGAAGTTCAGGGATTTGCCCTAGTGAGCGAACACGGGGGTGGAGCAAGGATGAACAGCACCTGATCGTTAGTCCAAAGAGCCAACCCTGGGCTCGATCACGTGGCTTTGTCCCGCCACGTTCGCCATGTTCGCAGAGCCCCGCGCAGCCTTCTCACCCCTTCACAAGCACAACCTTGAGCAGGAAACTCCACCGCCTTCAAAGAGAGGGTCGGCTGATCTGTACGAGCGTGCAAAGGCATGCTACTTCACCAAGTCTTGGCGAGGAGCATGCAGAAGGTCTGCTATTGATGGTTTCTCTGGTTGTCAAGGTAGCGCAGTGCCCAGCGGGGCGGCCCCACAGACAGCAGGCCCCCCACTTCTCCTTACACATACCTTGGTCTGGAAGCAGCAGTAGAGTTGTGTCAGGTACGGGTGTTTCCGAGCCAGCGCCAGAATCCTCTTTTCGGTCATGGTGCAGTCTACATCATCGTCCTGAAGAATGATGTCCTTCTTCAAGACCTTCACAGCATACACTTCATCCTTGCCCTTGAGTTCCGCCAACATGACCTGCAACCCAACCACGTCGGCCCAGTCAGTCTCCATGCGCAGGGGCAAACGGAGCACAGGCTCAAGGCACACTCTAACAATGGCTGCTTCTTTTCTTACACGGCGCCCAAGAGTTGGAGTTTACTCAATGGCGATGGCTTGGGCTTTTCTTTTTATTAAATCATTTTATTAGGGGCTCGTACAACTCTTATCACAATCCATACACACATCAATTGTGGAAAGCACATTTGTACATTCATTGCCCTCATCATTCTCAAAACATTTGCTCTCCACCTAAGCCCCCTGCATTAGGTCCTCATTTTTCCCCTCTCTCCCCTCATGAGCCCTTGATAACTTATAAATTGTTATTTTGTCATATCTTGCCCTGTCCGACGTCTCCCTTCACCCACTTTTCGGTTGTCCGTCCCACAGGGAAGAGGTCACATATAGTTCCATGTAATCGGTTCCCTCTTTCCTACCCACTCTCCTTCTACCCTCCCTGTATTGCCACTCACACCACTGGTCCTGTAGGGCTCATCTGCCCTGGATTCCCTGTATTTCCAGTTCCTATCTGTACCAGTGTACATCCTCTGGTCTAGCCAGACTTGCAAGGTAGAATTCGTTTCAAAAATAACGTGTTTTGCTTTTTATACAAAAAGAGCAAATTTAGGGTAACTGTCATACCAAGACAACCACCACTAATTTGATTTCCTTTTAAAATCCAGCAGCAAGCCAAAAACATGAAGCTCCGTGCACAGTGTTACATGATGAGTCACGTGTCCATGTATATTGTGTGACACTAATAGTTAAAACTGGGGTTTTTCCTTCGTGACTAATCATCTATGCCATTATAACAGTTTTTTTTTTATAACAGTTTTTTAAAACAGGGTTTACGAGAAACGATGTACAAATGCGCTTTACACAATTGATGTGTGTATGGATGGGGATAACAGTTGTATGAGCCCCTAATAAAATGTTAAAAAAAAACAAAAACAGGGTTTCCATCATTATCACAGTCTGTTATACCCATGTCAAGTAAGTATATAACAATTCATCCAACCATTTCCCTCGTAAGAGATACAAGTGATAGCTAATTATTTCATGCCATGTAAATATATTACACGGAGTAATTTTTTTCTTTGTCCATGTTATTTTTTCTTTGGGGGGTGGGCTCATGTGCTTAGGATAGAAAGTCTAAGAAATGAAGGATGGGGTTTTACATTTCTAAATCCTTTTTTTAAAAAAAACAGTTCTTCCCCTCCCTTTCCTAACTGCTTTTCTCACCGACAGGACCACTGGCAGCCAGCACGGAAGTGTTTTCACTCGTGGCCTTTCACCAACATCCGGTGTTCTGACTGACACGCTTTTATCTGCTCCAGCTGCAGGGTTACCCCAAAGCTGCTTTCGTTGGCAAGGGTACCTTTTTTGAATTATCTGCTTCCCAATGGTCATTTCTCCATGAGCACATGATCAGTTTGCACTGATGAGTGTGTATTTCTGGTTCGGGACTCTTTACTGTCCCTTCTTTTCGTCCGATTTGAGTGACCTTGGGACGTAAAGACAGTAACTGCACGGGGGTTTGCTCGGCACAGTATCCACTTCTATACAGTCTGTGCCACTGCCTGCCGGCATCCACCTCCCCAGACGTTCACCTGTCCTTCAGGCTCTCTTCCCTAGAGTGACAGCTGGGGAAGCAGCCCCTTCTTCAGGAACGGCTCCATCTTCCTCAGCGTTTTCCCAGGTGTCTCCCTAAGTGTCACAAGTCTCCCCGTCTGCACCTGGCTGACTCCTAAGCACAGTGTGCCAAGGTGATGTTGCCAGAGCCCAAGAGCAGCGTCTCAAAAGCTTTAATGAGAGAGGCATGAGGTTCACTTAAAGCTCCACCCACCCACCTAGAATACACCCTCTCCAACTGCCTCAGACCTCGGGTGCGACTTTTCTTCAGAAACCACCCCAAGGGCTCCTGAGCCTAAGAGTTCCCACCCTGCCCACACCGTATGGAAACTCGGAAACTCCTTTCCTTCCACTTGCTCACAGTGTGACCCAGCCCTGCTTCCTGGGGTACAACGCCCCGTTCCCCCCTCCAGAGCTGGGTCTGGCCAAAGGCTGGGGCCTGCTGCTTATTTAGCCGGGCCACTCAAGCACATGAGGGTCTCAGCGTTTGCCATTTCAGTCAAGGCTAGTGATCCACCTGCCAGAGATGGATAGGCCGGGCTGAGATGGGGCAGATGAGAGGGAAGGAGGACACACGACCAGCCCCGATGCCTGGGGGCTTCCAGAGCCATTTCTCCTGGAGAGAAGTGGAGGGGGCTGCTGCTAGCAAGCATTTCCTAAGACAGTGAGGGTAAGAGACTCGGAGCTTCTTGGGGCCGGGTGGCTGCTGGCCCGCAGGGCCTCTCTGCCCTGGGACGTCTCAGCAGGAATAGGGCAGGAACCAGTGGCCACCAGCTCCTCTCCAGCTCAGGCAACCCCAGGTGCGACCTCAAGGAGGGCTCAGGGTCTTTGGGGGCTGGGTTTTCAGGAGGTTGCTAGGCTGGCTTAGGTGGGCCCCAACCCCCAACCTATTGTCCAGGAGTCCGACATGCTAGTTGTTGGCACCACCCAGGGAATCTTCCAGGAAGACAACGCCTATCCAGCCCCAGATACAGCTTTCTGAGAAGGGCACGGAAGATAATGAAAGGTCGCCTTTGAAACCCTAACCCGGTCCCACGGCTCGCCACCCTCCATCTTCTTCCTAAAATGAACAGAGACTACTTGTCCACCTCCCGAAGCAATTGGCAGGAATGTCGGTTGTGTGATGCTTCAGGGTTTGGGCTGCTCACCTGCAGGTCAGTGGTCCAAGCCAACCAGTGGCCCTGCTGGAAAAGCCATGACAAGTCAGCTTCGGGAAAGATGGCAGGGAACCTCATGCAAGGGTCCTGCTCTGTCTGATAGGGTCGCCATGAGTTTAACTGGCTCAACAAGCATGCCATTGTTTCCCAAACCATCCCAAGGGCTGGCTGAGCATCACTGCTGGACCTGCTATGCGCCTGCCCATCACATCGCTGTGCTCTCAGTGCAGTGCCACAGAGGGTGGATGAGACCAGGGGAGAGGCTGCTGCCGTGAGACATGAAATAATGATGTCCAATCATTTTGGTGTGTGTGTGTGTGTGTGTGTGTGTGTGTGTGTGTGTCACAGGAGGGCAATACACTAAGCATGAGCAAATGCCAGAAAAGGCGGGGAATAACATGTAACTTTCAAAGCAAGCCCACGCGGAGACGTGCTTCTAATCATCTATTGACTGGTGGCAGATTCTAGAGCTCATCCTCAAAATTTTCAAAATGAATTAACATGAGAATCTGACATGGAAGAAATTCGGGGTACTTGCCCTGAGAGCCGGAGGCTGGGGGTTTGTAAGCATCTGAAGCTTTCTGCACAGCACTCTATCACCCACTGTCTGACTTGAAGAAATCCCTGGATGTGCAAGTGGGGTTAGCATGCTTAGCGGTTAACCCCCAAAGGTTGGAGGTTCAAATCCATCCAGAGGTGCCTTGGACAAAAGACCTGGCCATCCTCTCCTGAAAAATCAGTCACTGAAATCCCTATGGGGCGCCGTTGGACTCTGACTCACAGGGTCACCCAGCGTCGGGCGACTGGGCTTTGTTGTAAATCTGGCTTGTGCCTGTCCCCGTGTAACAGGGGCACAACTGAATCCTCAAGAGGGTAACTGACAAACTGACGGACTGAGGTACATTCCCACAGCACCAGTCCACCCCCACCCCCATCTGCTGGGCCTCAGCCTGTTTCCACTCGGCACAGAAGGGAGATTGAACTAGACCCAGATGGAAATGCCCATCTCTGAAATCTTCTATCAAACCAATGAGGCCACGCCATAGGGTAGAGAGAACCAGCAGTCTGCCCCAGCTTGCCACAGACCTTGCCAAAGCTGCCTTTGCCCAACACCTTGATGAAGTTGAACTCATCCAGGCCCAAGCGCTTGGCCTGGCCCTGCCGGACTTCTCCATTCTCGCCAGGGCTCGCCAGCTGGCCGTCAGTGGAACCTGCAGCCCGGTGCTCCTCCCCACGGTTGTCAAATGACAAGGCCTTCCGGATGTTGTTTTCAAGTTCTTTGAGTTCTGGGGACAAGGACGAAGAGACACTGCTTTAGTACATGCCTCGAGACCCTCCCCCGGCACTCCCGATGCGGCACTGCCCCAGGCCCTGCAGCGGCCTGCCTCCTCCCCATTCTCCGGGCATCAGATCCAGCGCGCTGTCTCCACATTTGTTCTATGCCCTTTCCTGGGCCCTGATGTGCAATGAGGCCTAGGTGTACACACAGGAGGAGGGCACAGTGGGTGCTCACTTGCCCACACACTCCCTTGGGCCCTCTTAAAGCTGACCTGGCCAGTAACTTGCAGACTTAAAATCCAACAGGGCCCCTGCACGATTCTTCTGAGGATCAGGAAAATAAGCACACTTGGACCACCCTGACAGTACTGGCTGGTGACAGAATTGCTTCCGCCTCTAGGACTAGGAAGCTCTCTCCTCTAAAGGCCTTAATTGTTGGGCTTACTCTCGATACCTGGCACAGCACCTCAGCCCACCTCAGACAGCGGGCAGGCATGTTGGGAATCTCCCTCCAGGCAGCAGGAGCTCCTCAGCACCTGTCACAACTCCCCAGTGGGCTGCGTGCCCCTCCAGAGGATCTGGCTGGGATTACCTGGGGGTGACAACACCCAGGTGGTGCCCTTTGACCTTTTCTGTTTAAAGGCGTTCCACTGTATCCACTAACCCACACCCTTGTCTGTATAGGAATGGGCGTCTCCAGCAGAATCCAATTAGTAAAACATGCGTGCGAGGAGCCGGGGCAGCAAGGGACCACTGACTCTCCACCTGGGTGAGCCGGTGCTACCGGGCATAGGAGCTCATCTCCAGAGGGACTGGGGTCCATCAGAGCTCACTCGGAGGCCAGAGGACTTCCCTTGCATCTAGAGCAGTGGTTCTCACCCTCTGGGTCGTGACCCCTTTGGGGGGGGTGGTCGAAGGACCCTTTCACAGGGTCGCCCAATACAGTGTTGAAGTAGCAATTAAAATAATCTGATGGTTGGGGGGTTACCACCACATGAGGAACTGTATTAAAGGGCTACGGCATCAGGAAGGTTGAGAACCGCAGATCTAGAGCTTGGCTTCTCCAGGATGCCATAGGATGATGGTAGGGCAGGGTGGGCCCGGCGGCAGCTGAGTCCACAGCTACTGCCCACCACCACGAATTCAGTCACCTACCACTTTGAATGAGGTGGAATTTAAAGTCTCAGCAGAGAGTGAAAAGCCTGGCTGGCCGAGGCGGCCTACTAGAGGGCTTTGGGTGTGTGGGCAGCGGAGCTTCAAGAAAATACCCTTTTCTGTTTGCTTACAATGGAAGAAAGAGAGTCTGTGTCATACTCCCGGCTCTGTCATGACCCCAGGCCTGGCAAGAGGGCTGTCCCACCCACCTCTGCCACATCCGTGCTGGGTAATAGGGGACCTTCACTAACAGGGCCACCGGAGTCCCCGAGGGGCTGGGCAGCGTGCCCTTTAGGGCCCAGGCCTGGACACAATGCCTTTTCCCTCTCAACTTGGGGCCTTTTATCCTCTGGCCCTGTGTCCACGATACCCCAAACAGGTGTCCACATTAAAAGAGGAAGCATGACACTGGTCACCGAGGCAGGGTGACCACTGCTGGTCCGGAGGCCTGGACTACTTATGAATGGGCCAACTCTCCTTCTGAGTGAACCAGGCTTGACAGATGTCAGCGTTGACAGGAGCCATTCCATGAGAGGCTCAGATCACGTATTTCTTGGCCTCGGAGTTGGCCCACCAAGCCAGGAGCAGTGTTAGTGACACCTAGGTTCTGGCAAACCCGCTGCCACGGAGTCGATTCTGACTCACGGCTTTCCCATACGATGGAGCAGAACAGCCACCCGGGGGTGTCCAAGACGGTACATATTTGCAAGCAGAGAAAGCCTTGGTTTCTCCTGCAGATGCCTTTGAACCTCAGATGCTGTGTTTCGTAGTCCAACACGTAACTCACTGTGCTGTCAGGAGGGGAGGTCTCTAAGGGCCCTGGTGGCCTAATGGGTTACACAGGGGACTGCGAACAACCAAGTCGGCATTTCAAAGCCATCAGCTGCTCCTCGGGAGAAAGGAAGCTATCTCGCAAAGATGTGCAGACCTGGAAGCCCTGGGGAATGGTTCTACTGTCCGAAAGCATCGCAACGAGTCAGCAGCAACTCCATGGCTGTGTGTGGTTTGGGTAAGAAGGGCTTGTCTTCCAGGAGGGCTGGATGTCATGGATGCAGGCCAGGGGCCACATCATCTCACCCCACCACTGACATAGCTCCTGACCTGCGAATGAGCCTTTTCCAAGCCAGCCTCTGCTCCCTCTTGTATCTTGGGAAGGGCGACACAGGACGGCATGGAGCTGGTGGGGACACTGTACTGAGACCATAACCGCAGAGGGGCCATGAGAAACCAGGATCCTATTACTGTGTGATTAGAACCATCCCCGAGGCGTCCTGGTGGCCTCATGATGACGCTCTGGGCTGACTTCAAGATCGGTGGTTCAAATCCACCAGGGACTCCTGAGGAGAGTAGGTGGCCTCTGCTTCTGTGAAGACTGGCAGCCATGGACTCCCAAGGGGTCATTGTCCCCAAGTCAGAATTGATTCGGTGGGTTTGGGGTTTCAAGTGACTCCTATACTATCCCTGTGTCCCTGTGCATGCCTCCCTCTCCAGGGACAGGGTAGTGCAGATCAGGAGCATGCAAGGTTTTAAATGCACCGGCATGTCCTCCACAAAGGACTCAGGGTCTGAGAGCCAGGCCTACAGCTACTTTCTTCTCCAGCTCCCTCCTCGCCCATCAAGGGCCGGGAGGGAGACACTCCCCCCCACAGTCCCCAACTCTTGACCAGAGCGCAAGAATGGCATGCAATGGTCAGTGCTGGGCTGGAGGGGGCTCAAACTCAACCTAAGTGGGTTACACTGGCATGTCTAGGACTGACTAGAGGGTAGAAGAAGGGTGAGTACCAGGGATAGAAGCAATGGAAAGAGAGACCCCAGCCTGACCCTCTCTCCCTCTCTTACCCTGGCGTGGGAGGAATGCCAGGCCGGCACAGCTACACCAAGTGCCTTGAACTCACGACCTCCTTGGTGGATAAAAGAATGGCTATTCAATGCACGGGAAAGGGCAAGTGTGGCTCTTCCAGGGCTGCTGGCTCATTGAGCTTACAGGCTCGTCCTTGGGTTGGAAGGCCCACGCGCCCCGACTCCTTCCAGCGGCAGTGCCCTGAGGGCGGGCAGCAAAGCTGAGGGTCTCACCCTGGTCACAAGGGGAGGTGGGTGCCGACTTGGACCGGTCTTCCTCAGACGGTGAGCTTCCAGAAGCAGGTTGCAGGGACTCGGCTCCGGCGATGAGCTGGGGGCAGAGAGGAGGGGAGAAGGGAGAGGCCAGTCAGCACGGACCGATCAAGACACTGCTCTCGAGCTGTTAGAGGCCCGGGGCCGGGCGCTTGCTGAGTTGAGATTCCGGAGCAGAGACTCAAGGTCCTGTTGGCCAATTAAGGGAGAGAAAACGAGAGGCTTCGGTGTGTGCTGCTTTTAGTCTATCTGCATACCAGGGACCTTTCTGAGCAAGGGTCAGTGCCGCCTTCTTCACAAAACCTCCCTCCACAATCCAGGCACCTCATTCAGAGTACCACAACGTGTGTCACCCCTAAAGCCCATTTGGCACCTGTTCGTTTTTTGACTCAGCTTTATTTTTTATGAATATCTACTCCCCACACAGGGAACCAACGAAAATTCCTTTGAAAGCAAGACTTTATCTAGCACAAACCCACACCCCCCCCCCCCCCATTGATCTGGCCAGGGTAAGATAACAGTGCTCCATAGGCATTTCCAGGTGTGCCAATTGGCAAATTCCCAGAAGCTACACACCTCTCTCTCCCCACCTCTTCCTACGCCCTGTATTTTTCATACCTGAAGTCCACAGCTTGCAGGAAGTTCCCTCTTTGCATATCTGCTTTAAGGCCCCCATGGATATCGGCTGTTTGCCCTTCGAGACCCCAAGCACATGTGCCCATGTGGCCTCTCAGCCTATCAACGGGATGCACCCATCCTTCCTGGCTGCTGGACCCCTTGCAGGGGACACACAGGGGAACCAAAGCCCCAGCAGGCTTGAAACCCCTCTAGCTTCTGCCTAAGGGCCTTTCTCTCCCCCCTCTCTCTCTAACCAGAGCCATGATGGTTTCTCACGCGGCTTTTGCTAACTTTTGCATCAGAAGCAAAATAGGAAAAAAGTATGGGGCCTGGGTCCCTTAGTCTGATACTCTGTCCCCACTGAATTCCTCCATGGTACCATTGTCCCAGCACAAGGTCTCCCTCAGACCCCTGGCAGATAAAATGATCACCCGTAACCCAATTGCTCACAGGGACCCCGCAGAACACAGTAGAACTGTCCCTGTGGGTTTCTGAGATGGTGGCACTTAGCGGAGTGGAAAGCCTCTTCTTCCTGAGGTAGTTAGTTTATTGTGCCAACCTGGCTGATAAACACATGTGGGATTAATTGAAGGGTGGAGGGATAAATGGCTTGCTGAGCCTCGCCTTTCGAGTTCCCGGGTCTCTTGCTTTGTGATGGTTGCACCAGGGTGCAGCTTACCTTAGCAGTTCCCAGCTTCAGCTTACAAGGCTGACTTCCTGCAAGACATCCCCAAGGAGAAGCCCCATGGACCTACCCCAATGCAGCCCTGGGTGCTGGAGCACCTGTGTGGAGACCCCTGCCAGCACTGAGATGCTTACACATTCACTGACTCGGCATTCCTCCTGCAGTCGGCATCATAGTATGTATTTTGTGAGATGGAGGAGGACTTTGTGGACTGGTGTTGGACATATGGAGTGATGTTGGACTTGTGGGCTTGGGCAGCACTGGGTTGGGATGTTTTCTTGATGTGTACTTAACCTTCATATAAAACTCTCTCTTATAACGAGTTTCTGTGGATTTGTTTCTCTGAAGTAGCCAGACTAACACATCCTCTTTCTCCTAGCCTCTCCCTTAGTGACGTGCATTTAAGGGCCCTTTCACAACTTACTTCGGCTTGGAACCAAGGCTCAAGATGACCTGGCAAACAGAAGGCTCTGTAGAGCCTTGACGGATCGAAACAGCCCGTCAGCAAATGTACCTCTTCCAGCTGACATTCTGAATGTTAGTCGGACAGAGGCAGGGCTGTGGTCTCTGAAGAAGGGCCCAGATGGTTCATGTCTTGCATGGGTCCATAACAAAAGTCCCCGGGCAGCTGAGCGTGGGTACGATCACAACTCTTCGTGGCTTCCTCCCTAGACAAGAACTCCATCCACCTGCCCTCACGACAACCGAACCAGGGGCTTCCATGCCAGTTCCCGAGGCAGATACGTCCGTAGCCGTGTTTTTCTCTAAACGCCCTTTCAAAGACTTCATCTCAAAGCCTGTGTTTCTCTGGCAAGCATTGTGCTGGAGGCCCCTTTGGTTTCCCACACGCTCACCGCACGGTACCTGCCTGGCCTCCGCGTCCTCTCTCGCACGTTAAACACATGCTGCTTGGAGGACAAATGGCCTCCCCTGAAAACCTCACTCTTGGGCCTCTCTTGCTCTGAGGCACCCTGAAAGGCTGACCACCCCCCAAGGAAGCCCAGGCACCCCGACAAGCAGCTGGTCACCTTTTTCCTCCTCTGGCCGCTGTTGGTGATCTTGTCCGGAGTGACTCCCAGGTCGGCCAGCACCTTGGCAATGCCCCTGGCGTCCACTCCACAGTTGGGGGCGACGTTGCTCTCGCAGCGACGGTGAACGTTCATCTTGCAGACTGGGGGGGACATGGAAGAGACCCTTTCAAAGACGGATGGTCTCAAACACGACCCAGTGCCCCGCCCCGCCCTCGATGATAAAAGTCATACATACTCATCTGACGGGCTTTGGAAAATATAGGGAAAACACAAAGAAAAGTAAAATGTACCCATCGGCGTACCGCACAGAAGCAAAATCACTCCCCAGACCAGGGGGCAGAGGTTAGTTATCCCTGTAAACTTTTTGGCGACATTCTCACAGTCATTCTTTCTAAATATATTTAAGATGGACAGATAAATAGCAGCTGCCAGTTGCCTTTGGGGACCGGAGAGGTGTGGAATCACTCACAGAAGGCAAGCTGGCCTTCGTCCTTGGCTCTTCTAAGGTTTGCCAACACCAGCGTCTAACATGTAGGCGCTGACCAGACTAAGAAGGACCACCGGAGGCCCGATGGCGACGGAGCCTGGGGAGGCATGCTGGTATCTACCGTGGCCACGTGGCAAGGCCAAGCAGAGTCCTGAGCCCCGCAGCTCAGAGGAGCTTCACATCCCGTGGTGATCATGCACATCCCTCCCACGTGGCACTTTCACGCCGTGACTCTGCTTTCTGATGGTCCTCCGATTGTAGTCCTAAGTAGGTACGCAGTCTGCGATCTTGTGCTGCGTATCCCAGTAAATTAAGACACTCACAGGGTCCGTGAGAGCCAGCAGGGCCTCCTGTCTGCTGGTCTGGATACGTGAAGGAAGGTGTCCTTCCAACACGTGAGCTCGGACCTCACTCTGGTTGGCTGGGGCCTGAGAAGTGTTGCATGGAGACCAGTCCGCAAGCTGGTATCCCTTTCATCTGTCATCTCTGAATGACCCCTGGTCAGCGACAAGGGTTCGAGGGAGCCCTCGTGCTGTGGAGGGGAAGGGTGCGGATGGAATTCATTTCCAGCTGTGGGAAATTGGACTCATTCTGATCCTTTCCACGCAGCGAGCGGCAGAGGAGGGGTTTGCTCACTGGGCCCCCGCTTGGTCCAGGAGCAGAACACGGACCAGCGAAGACTGTGATTGGTTTATCTAAAGAAAGGTCATTTAGCATCTGGGCCCAAGCCAGTGGCACTCTTTCTGCTCTTACAAAATGACGGGCAGCAACCGAGTGAATGCCCAGCCTGTCAAGACGCCCCTGGGAACGCTAGCCCGCGGAGGCGACTTCCGAGGCTCCTTGCAGACCTAAAGCCCCCTTACAAAGGATCAAAGCTAGACTTGACCATCTCTGCTGGCCTATGTCACTCTGTGGCCTGGGGGTCGCTCATCCAAGGTAACAACATGCAATGTTCCTGGAAAGAAATCAGGCAGGATGGGCACAGACGTGGTCACTGGCCTGGGGGTGGGGGAGGGACACCCTCACCCCACCCTAGGCTTAAAGAGAGCGTATGTGAACTGTGGAACCCAAGAAGTCAAAGGGCCATGGACCGGGGACTTGGTGGGAAAGGGGTGCTGGGCGGTAGGGCCTTAGACGGTACAAACGAAAAAGCTCCGCCTTGGGGCTGGCTTGCAGAGCTGATGTATCACTTGACAACTGCCTGCGAATGTCCCGTGTGGGGACACAACTGACAGCGGCCAGGAAAAGCCTGCACTCCGGGCCACCACACTGCTGCTCAGAATTCTTACTGCCCCTCCCCTTTGAGGTCACCTTCCCCTTACCTGCCCCTCCGGGCCCACTGACCCCACCACAAAGTCCTCTCCCTCTCGATGAGGTGACAGAAGGGCGAGGAGCAGAAGAAAGGGGCCAAGAGAAGGGAATTTCTTCACTAGGGCCATGCGTCCACACAACTGAACCGCTGGCGCCCTCTGGTGTTGCAATGCCAGACCTGTCCACTGGACAACCCTTTGCCAGGAGCAAAGCAGAAATGGTCTTAAGGTCTTCCCTGACGGATGTTTAAATCTCTTCACTTCTCGGAGAAAGCGATGTCATTGTCTCAGTGTGCAAACAAGAAAAGGAGAGGAACAATCCAACCGTGCATCAAATTAAAATAGATGCCAGGCCCTAGAACTGGCTAATTCTTTTGCTCGACAGTGTTTTAAGTTCTATACCACTGGCTCCGTTAGTGACACTCTCAATAGAATTGCCTTATGTGTGCCCTAGGGGGATTATTTGTAATATTCTCCAACATGATATGTCAAAGATGTCTCTAAGGTGAACCACAGACATATAGAAACTATAGATGAGGTGTCAACGGATTTGGGACTTGCACTGAATTCTAGCCCCAATCTACAAACCATTAGTTCTTATGACATGTTTGCTGCTCGCCTTCCTGAAGAGATCACCGAAGATAAGGTGCTACAGCAAAGTGTGGTGGAGAAACTAGATGGTGCCTGCCCGGGGATCCGAAAGAATCGTGTCTGGGTCTTAAATGCTCATCTTCAAACAAGCAGCCATTTAAGTCAGGCATCAACTACATCGCACGGAAGAAGCACACCAGACCGTGTGATCCAAGGATTGTAAATATGAAATCCAAATCCAGAGGAGGAAATGGTATCAGAGCTGAAATGATGAACACCTTGTTTGCAGGAAGCGATGGAGGACAGTGGAAGCCCATATCCACCTGCAGGGTCCACAATGGATTAAAACTCAGGGGCATCCCCTCTGAGTACAAACAAGGGCTGTGAATAGCCTCCAAACAAGAGCGTATTATAAAGTTGATTATGGCAGATGTAGTTAGGCTAAGATGTCATCTTTCATCATTTGTTCTACTTTTCAATTAAGGTTTTCTCTATATTTTACTTTGTTGTTGGTTTTTAATTTAATTTTAATTTTTTGTTAATGAAATCCAGGGTAGGCAAATCTCTAGAGACAATACCTGGAGTAATGGTTTCTTGAGGGTAAGGTAGGGGAGGTTGAGGGAAACTGGGGAGCTGATGAGTACAAGAAAGAAGAAAATGTTCTAAAATTGACGGTGGTGATGATTGTAGAACTCTTCTCATTATGACCGAACAGTTGGATGGTATGATGCGTGCCAATAAAACTGTCAAAAATAAAACACAAAACAGATGCCACGAGACAGTGGCCCTGGCGCACTTTGGGAAGTCTGGAGCTGTGAGGGCAGAGTTCTCGTGGCAACACAGATGCTGCCCAGGAAGCATGGGCACCGGGGGCGCACGGGCACCGGAGGCTGCAGGCAAGAGGAAAGTGGAGTTGCACCTGCAACTAAGAGAACCCCAAGATTCGTTCACACGATAGCCAGTTGCTGTGGCATCAGCTTCGAGGCACGGCCATCCGTGTGTGTGTGTGTGTGTGTGTGTGTGTGTGTGTGTGTGTGTGTGTGTGTGTGTGTGTGTGTGTGTGTGTGTGTGTGTGTGTGTGTGTACGAGGAACTGTGCTTCACGGCGTCTCCAGGTGTGATCTTTTGGAAGTAGATGGCCAGCCTTTTCTTCAGAGGTGCCTCTGAGTGGACATGACCGTCCAATCTTCCTGTTAGCAGCTGTTTGGTGGGTGTACCCACTGCCACCCACCAACCCAGGAACTCCTCATTCATAACAACATGGGCCACGTGAAACTGTCCAATTCCCTACCACGCCTCCTGACGGGACAAGGGTCTTGAGCATTGGGCTGCCAACCCACGCACAGCCCACGTCCGCCTGCTCTCTCAAGCGTCCCTGTTTTCTCCTCTTCAACCTCCACCACCATTGATTTCCAAAATGCTGTTATCACCCCAAATAGAAGCTCTGTCCCTTCACAATAACACTTCTTTCTCCCTTCCTCCCAGTCACTAGGAATCAGGAAACGGCTTTCTCCCTGTGGACTTGCCTATTTCCAATATTTCATGAGTAAGGTTGTTCGCACAACATCGGGCCCTTTAGAGACTGGCATACTTCACTCCGCATCATGAACGTCGTCAAGCTCCACCCAGTTAGTGTCCTGCAGAAATTTCTTCATGCCTCACTTGAGGGTGAGCCAGGGTGAGGTTCGATTTCATAGAAGATAATTCTCTGCCATGTTCAGAAGGGTGCAGTGCCCACATCCGTGCAGAGGACACTAGTTGTGAGAATCTGTCGGTAGTGGGAGAGGTCAGAGGTGTGGCGTTATCTAGTCCTGTAGGCCCGGTACCGTGGAACCATCCCTGGGCATGCTCCGGAGGATAGAACTGGCCTGTCATCTTCCAGCCTGCATTCCCCAGGCGAATGCTCTGCTCGGATCTTCCATGCACAGTGGGGTGTGTCCGTGATGGCCCTAGGCACTGTCAGATGTTGTTGCAAAGGAACCAGCAGCAACCAACAAAACTCCTGTGGCACCGCAGCACCCAGTGTCTGACAGCCACCTCGCCTGCTGGTCACCTGCCTGGCACCGCCTCCCCTTGGCCCACTTTGTGGCCCCTCTTCCTGGCTTCTCAAATCCACTGCCTCCTTCCCTGCCTACCTCAACTCCTCCTGGCCTCTCTCTTCTCAGACCCCCTGCTTGGATGACTGTCTACTGTTCTGTCTACTAATAGTATTTCCAGAAGCCTTGGGGGAAGCAGTGGTTAGGAGCTGGGCTCCTCACTGCAAGGTTGGTGGTTTAAACCCAGCTGCCACTCAGTGAGTGAAAGACGAGGCTGTCTGTCCTCAGAAATATTTAGTCTTGGAAACCTTAAGGCGCAGTTTCACTCTTTCTACAGAGTCACTACGAGGTAGTAGCAACTAGAAGACAGCGGGTTTTACTTAGCGTTGGAAGGCCACCTGGGGGCACAGAAGTTAAGCATTTGGCTGCTAACCTCAAAGTCAGCAGAGAGAACCCACCCACTGCTCCTTGGGAGAAAGACGTAGCAGGCTCCTTCTGTAATAATGTACAGTTTTACATGGAAAGCCTATGGGGTAGCTTTACGCTGCCCTGAGGAGTTGCTTTGAAGTGGAATCGCCTTGGTGACAAGGGATTCTGATTGCTGTGTTTTGTCTTTAGTTTGTTTGGGGTTTAATACCCAAGCACCGTGTCAGTTTCTAGAAGATAAGGTAAAATATTTTGTTTCCAAGTTCCCCGTGATGCCTTGGACAAGGAAAA